ATAGATAAGGCCAAGCACTCCTTCATAGCTAATCTTACTGCATTATTTTGATATATAATTTCTTTCTTTTTAAATAGGGTAGAATATTCTGGTAAAATTACAAAATGAAAAGGGTCAAGAGTTTCAGTAATGAAATGTAGCCTTTGAATAATTCAAGCATCCGGCTGTTTTTCTGGCTTAAGGACCTGAAGGAATGGCACGTGATCTGATAGCCGATCGTCTCCTTGAATAAACACTTTTCAGGAGAGGAACGGAGCTAAATACCATTCATGATGCACTACATGTGGGGTCTCACACACTGAAAACCCCTGGCCTCATTTCTAGTAGATGGTGGAAGCCTAGGCCTATTTCAGCCCATACAGATCCATCCATCCACCCACCCATTTTCTGTACCTGCCTGTTTAAAAAAAAGCACAAAACATCCTAAAAGACCAATTCCATCCAGGTTACTCTATTTTTGAACTGCTGCTCTCAGGCAGATGGTTCAGAGTGATGGAAACAGAGACCAGTAGTCTAAGGAACAGTTTCTATCCCAAAGCCATAATAGCACTTAACATGGCAAAAACTTGAAGTCTGTGCAATATAAAGTTTTTTTCTTGCACTGGAAGTTGGGCATTCAAATTTCATTGTATCTAGAGTGACAATAAAGATATATTCTATTCTATTCTATTCAGGGCTGCTGGAGCCTGTCCTGGAAGTTATGGGAAGGAACAGCCCAGTATAGGGTGCCAACCCATCAAAGGGCACACACACACATGCACGCGCACACACACACACACGCACTTCAGAGCTACGAATGATTTGATAACTCCAATTAACCTCAGAATGTTTTTGGACTGTAGGGAGAACCCGGAGGAAACCCTTTGATGACATGGGGAGAACATGCAGACTCCACACACACGGAGCCACAGCGGAGGCTCAAACGCAGGTCCCAGAGGCGTGAGGCAATACTGTTAACCACTGTGCTGCCCCCCCATCACCAAACCTGCATCCCAAAATAAGGATCCCTCATACTGTTCACTCACTAGTTCATCAAAATCCTTATTTTAAACCTTATTACAGACCATTCCAAAAACTACAGTGTATGTGGCAACCGGTAATTATGAGGGAATGAAATCTTGTAGCCTTATAACAAACTGATCATTCAAAAACAGGGTTGGAGCTCCTTATTGTTGTAATTAATGACAAATCCAGTAGGTGTTGCCTTCAACACTGGCAAGTGAATCACCACAATACATAGTTGATGGGGTAACTTATAGGACCAGGAACCATTATACCAGCACCCATATATATGATGCATTTAACAGTTATACTGTCTGATTGTCGGTTCGCACATGCTACGGGTGCAGGGTTCTATAAATCTCACCTATGCCTTAAGTGGAAGTTACGCCGTGTACCTACTGTACAGTATTAGCGCCACGCGGGATTCCCTACCTGCGCCTGTTCAGCATCTCGTAGCCGCTCAGGGACCTTCCTTTCAGCAGAAGCACAATGGATCTCATCAGTGTGCTTTTCCGTTTTTGACCTCGGATCAGCGAAATCCCGCTGTTTGAAACGGTTTCCTTTTATCTGCAAAGGAAATCGGCAAAGTGCGGAGCAAAGTCATTGAATGCAAATCGCCGCTGCAGAGTATTATTCAAACAATGAATGAGTTGAATAACAGCCTGTGAAAATTACAGATACACACAAAGAGATAAAAAACTAAGTCCACACAATTAACCAAACTTTATGATACGTGTTTTTCTCCTTCTAAAACACCCAGAAGCAAAGTGAGACTTTCAGAATGCATCGGCCAAAGATTAGCGCGGCATCAAACTCCGGCGGCAATAAAGTTCAGTCTCTGGACAATTTAGCTCCCCGGCTCAGAGATTTACTCATTCTACAAACGGTATGGGCCTTTTTCCTGAGGCACTTAACACATGAAGGTTTTAGCCAGTGGGATTTTCTGTTTTTATCTCCTTTTTTTAAAAGAAGGGATTTTGGGTGTTTGTAATAACATAGGCTTTTCTTAAGACTGAAACTTAACCATTGTATATCAAGTGATTTTAGTACACAGAAGTAGTGCATCATCAGAAAAACACGTAATTTTCTTTTTAAAAATCTTGAAATGCGTCTTAATTCTTATCCTATTGGCATATTTTCTAAGACGGACTAGATCTTTAAATTTTTCATTAAATCAGGGTTACCAGGTTTGGTCAACTGGCTGGCGTGAGATTTTCAATTCGAGACAAGTCTGCCCACATATTTACATGTATATAAGAGTTTTATTACCTTGCAAATAGTCTGTAGGGTTTGCAAACTTCACCAATGCTTTCGATGTGGCTAATTTTAGGTTTATAATTGGATAATATAGATTTACCGTAAGATTTCTTGCGTGAGTGTTACCCCAGGTGCGTGGGAGTTGGAAACCCTACATTAAAAGGTTTCTGTTATTCCAAATCACGATATACTGAAAAATAAACAATGACCCAAAAAAAAGTCTTCGGTAGCTATCACACGATGAAACATAATACCAAAATGATAGCTTGACGCCTGTTTTAAAAACCGGGTCTGAATTATAAAGTATAGATAGAGTTTATGATTGGGGCACTAAGACATTAGATTATTTGACACATATCAGTTAAAATATGAGGCAGAGCTCCGCCCACCCTTCAGCCTTCCCCGTTTATCTTAGGGTTTCCACCTAATACATGTCAGAAAGGACACTGAGTTACTTTAGGTTTTACAAATGTCTCATAACTGAAAAGCTCCAGTGCTTGGCTTAATAGCGTAGCTCTTGCTGTGTTTTGACTCGTTTGTTTTCATAATTGAAAAACTCATCCATCTGTTTCACATTAACATATTAGGGGAACATGCATGATTATAGGAGACTGACCAATCAGCACGCACCGAGAACTAGGTGCTTAAGTGAAATCCGTGTCTTTTTGACTGAAATGGTAGCTTATACATCCTGTCCTTGCTAAGTGTCCTTCTTCACATGGATTATCTGTTCACCCAACTTCAGCTAGAAGTTAACAAGCCGAGTATCTCTTACGAGTACCTCTTATACGCTTGCTAGTTAATATAATTTTCCATGGAAATCACATTTACTATAGAGTTGGGTACGTGCAATTCTACCATTGCAGGTGATATCTATCTAATTAATTACCCAATTACATTATTCAGTATGTATGCCGGGGTACACTGGCAAGCAATGGTTGGTACTTAAATAGCAAGGGTCATCTAGAGCAGTATATGTTTCCCAATCCGGTTCTCGGGGACCTGCAGCAGTCCGCGCTTTTGCTCCCTCATTGTAGACTGTCCGGCATGGAGGTGTGTGGGAGCAAAAACGTGAACCATCTGTGGGTCCCCGACGATCGGGTTGGGGAAACACAGCTAGAGATACTTGGTATATTAAAACCAATGATCTTGATCAGGGCCAGCCCGAGATGTTCAGGCGCCTTAGAACTAGTGTAAATAACTAATGTCACGGAATGCAACCAGAGGTATTTGTTTTAATTTGTATTTCAATTTATTTTAATTTGTTTTTCTTATTCACCCCCTAATCAGACGGTTCCCTAGGCGAAAGCTCGTGTTGCCGATGGGGCGGGTCGGACCTGATGTGTGGACAGTACAGCTGAACTCGAACCTGCAACCATGCAGGTGTCGGGCAACAGCGCCACCTACCGATACACCATTTTAATGACGAATTAATTATTGTATTTCTTATCATGAGTGTATTATAATATGAAAAATGGTCATTGTGGGTATGCATTAAAACTAGTGTTCAATGGCCATTTTATGCTAAACATTTTGCTGAACGGACTTGGGTGTTTGGACAGGATAAATAAAGATTTTGGAACTTAAAACCTAAACGCCTTATTCGTGTGTATATTCGGTACACTTTTTAAAGTCTCATTTTCCAAGCATTGCTACATGACGGTGTTCAAGCCTCGTTGAGCAAATGTGTTGAAAACAGAACCATCACGCTTCGGCTCCGGCACGCAACGTACAGTACGTGCCGTGCCCGTAATGTGGAGCTGGGGACTAGGATATGTGTCAAAATAATGTGCGAACATCAGAAAAGGTAAACTGGGTGGTTATGCTTCTTAAACAGTTCTGATAAGCTGAACACGTCCGTTTCTGATGATAAGGGACCAGGAAGGCTTCATATAAAAATCGTATAGGCTGTTACTATTCGACTAACGCACCCGCAGTAGCCTATTAATTATATACTCACCCTGTGGCAATCTCGCTCAGTTTTTAGATATTGTGGTTTGATGATGCAAGCAAAGTCCTTCTCTAATTTTGACTTAAACTGGCCCAGGCTTGTTTTTTTGCATGCGTTTCCCCGTAATCGTACACTTTCGCCGCGATATTCCAGTCTTCTCCACCAGCACTCTACACCGCCCACCAGTTGCAGAAGAGCTCTTGTTGTGTATGGCGCCCTCAATATAACATCAACACCCACCTTTCACTCATAACAGAATCATAAGTCCAGCTCCGGCCTCATCACAACTGAATCCGTCTATAGGACCTTGACAAGGGAAGATGGTGGGTGGACGGTGTCTTTAGGGTGCTAAAGTAGATGGGTAGAGAAGGACAAAACTAATAGTATTTTGGAAATAACTAATATCGACTTTTGTTATGAAAAAAAAATCCACACATTCCTTTGGCTTTCACCTGTTCTCCAGTGTTCAGGTGTCATTCCAACAAACCCACCCACATTTAGTTTTCATCCGAAAAGCCTGGTGAAGCCCAAACGTAGACATGTCACGTAATAAAAATGGAATAATTCAGACATTTCTCACTAGGCGTACTGACAATGAAAGGCTGGAGGAAGACGAGAGCGAGTGGAGCCAAAGAATAGGACCAAACATACTATACGCTGCACACGACACGTTCATTTCTCCGCATGAACTGCAGCTCTATCCGTATTTCTGTTAGGTCACGATCTCCTGCACCGCCCCCTGTTGGCTGTCGGGTCATTCTGTGTTGACAGGCAGTCACCATGAGAGGGGGTTTTCACCTCACGCATGGCCGATCGGTCGGCTTTCCCGAAACACCTCCCCGCCCTTCGGCTCTGTGCGTCCCAGCCTAACCAGCGGAGACAAAACGGTAACATCGCCATCCTCCGCGCAGAATAATCGACCCATCCGCCTGTCCGCAGAGCGAGATCGGCCGTCCCCCGGGGACCTGCTGGTATTAATCAAAGATAGGGGCTCAAAGGGGCCACGACATGAAGCGAAGAAGCAGAAGAAAAGATGCAACAATCGGTTATAATTAACACATCTAGAGTGCTGTCTCGTTTCAAATAAGCCCATTCAACTTGCAGTGTGTAGGTTGTCATATTAGTTAAGATAAAACAGAATGCATCATGCATTAAGTGTCAATTTAATTACTCGGCAGGCTCTTATAAAGGGGAATTTTTTTCTTTTTTTAAAGAAAACAGGCTAAGCGGATGGGAATGAAAGTTCGATACGTTGAATGCTGGTTTTACCCGAGGGATTTCTTTGCTGCATGGCGTTTGTTCCAGCTGACCTTGTAAACAGCAGGTTTGTCCTTGACGACAGTGCGATGTAGATTACAGTATGAAGCAGGTCAGGATCAAAAGCTGAGGATGCCGTTAAAGGGGTACGTTCGGGATAATGTTTAAAACTGTACCATATGTAAAATATTCTTCAATATATGTATATTCTCCTTTATTTATTTAATAATCCCTCAAACAAAAGCAATGTGTTGTTACTGAATCTTATATGTAATTACCAGAAATGTGGAAATGTTACATTCAGGATTCAATCATTACTTATCAAGCTTGTTATCTGAGATATACTGCATTCAGCTAACAGAGCGTGTGGGTTCTGGGACCATTTTCAAGTCCATCTAGTTTTACATCTCAGAATGTAAAATTCCTCAAGCCAGTTCCCAGTTTCACTGCACCTGAGTCATACACACAGATTAATGCTGCCCACTTGGTCTGAATTAGCCCAGGTCATCTGGCTCTTTGACATAAAGTCATGAAGTATTTGTGTACCTTGTGTTGCGTGAGATTGACAGTGTTGCCATTGCTGTCATGTATTCCCCTGGTCAGATTTTATTTAATGCAGGTATTTGTGTTGTCTTAGGACCTGGAGTTATAACCAGATGCCGCCCTGTCATGGTCTCTGCTGCTGTATCCTTGAGCAATTGGACAGGATGCCAATCTGTCACAGGGCATAAAAAATATAAAAGCAACTAGATATAAATTTAACTATCATAATGTGTTGTGACACCAGGTCCAGCATTATCTTGAGTTTCTGTACCGTGACGGTAAGAACCAAGGTTATAAAAACGCCCCGAAATTCATTCCCAGTGGCTCCTGAGATTTGGTTGGGTAGATCCAAACCCCGGTACGTCAGACATTTGGAACCATTACCCTCGGCAGACAGTCCCTCAAGGACGAGAAGCTCATGCACATTTATGAGTCTGCGTGTCCTTCCTTAATCCATCATTTCCATTTGTGAAAAACAGGACCATCAGTAGGAACAGCACAAGCAACATAGTGCGTAGGCGATGCTAAACCAAAAGCAAGCATGGCGACTGAAACACTGTTTGAAGCAGGTTATGGTGGCTTGATTGGTCTTGGAAAGAAGATGGACTTTGGCCTGTCCGAAGCAAAAACAAGGCCACTACGTCACAAAAATAGATTTCCTGTCTTTGACTTTAAAATTCTCACAGAAGCCTCATATGAGTACAAAATATATTACTTCAAGGTTTTGGACAAGTCCTGCTTTATCTCCTCTCAGAACACCTCAGGGCATCTTGACAGGAGATTAGAGAATCATGGGGCTCTCAGATGCCACGTCTCTGTACCATCAACCACCAAGCATCGTAGATATTCCTCACATGACCTCCTGACTTCCGAGTTCCAGCTTCTGTATCCTCCATATCACGCAGCGACACTTTACTAAGGTAAAAATAAGATCTCACCCCATGTCTCCCAAGAAACAAAGAAGGCACGTTTGAGGTTTGAGCAGGAACATGCGCCTTCAGGCTGTGGTGCTACCAAAAAAAAACAAAACAATTTGCACCGGAGGCAATTAAAAGTATCTTGCTCCCGCACAATGACACTTGCGTGAGTCATTTGTTGACGGGCACACAGGAAGTACGGGGGGAGGGGGGGAGGAGTGGCACCAGTGACAGGCGCACAAAGTACACCCCGCTTCTGCGAGGAACGTGGGAAACGGCAAGCGGGCCCCTTAAGATGAGTGCCGGCCTTTCGTGGGAGGAAAATCACAGGGGTAGGACATGGCGGGGAGGTACGGGGGGTTTGTTACCGTCATGGCAATCTGATGTACGTGCTGGGGAATGTGCTCCTCGCCGGCCAGGCAACGGCACGTCGGTCGTCAACCTGTAGCTGGGCGAAGGGAACTAGTTACATAAAGATAACCTCCTGTAGCTGGGTGAAGGGAACTAGTTACATAAAGAGAACCTCCTGTAGCTGGGTGAAGGGAACTAGTTAGATAAAGATAACCTCCTGTAGCTGGGTGAAGGGAACTAGTTACATAAAGATAACCTCCTGTAGCTGGCCGAAGGGAACTAGTTAGATAAAGATAACCTCCTGTAGCTGGGTGAAGCCTGTGATTCCATGATCTTGGAGTTGTGGAGCATATACAACATGCTTAGTAAGTTCAAAGACTTACATAGCTGATGTCATGGTGATGGTATGTGTAGGACTGTAGCCTCAGACAGTATTAAGGTAAATGGAAGATGGATGGATGAATGAATGGAATGCAATTTATACTGCTGTGTGCAGTGTATGTCTTGGCTCAGACCTGAGCAGATATATAGCCCACTGTATAGCACTGATATTGGTGATTCTTAAAGTGGGGAGCATAGTCACACCTAAAAAGGTACATCAGCGCTATCTTAGCACAGGAATCCTGCCAATAAGAATATACTACAGCATAGCACAGATTTCCATTATTCATTCTGGTGTCATGACCACCATTTTAAACCCCATTTTGACATCACAAATCAAAATTTGAAATGATATTCAGGAAGTTGGTAACTACTGTGTATGTCCCTTAAATTTCTGAAACAAGCCTAAGTTCTGATATTTGCGAGCATTCCTTTTTTGTGAGCTTAATACGTTTTTTTCTCATAAATACAAGGCCACTGAAATCGTAAGTCATGCATTAATGCATTAGAGCCAGCAATTTGTCTTGCTACTCCATTGTCTGAATGTAAATTACACCACATTTATGGTTGCATAAGGTGCCCTGTAGACACACACACACACACACACACACACACAGTGTCATTCTTATAGCACGTTCTTCCCAGACATGTCCACTCTCCTGCCACCTGTCTCACAGACATTGCTCCACCCAGTAACAACAGTACCTCCCCCCCCCCAGCCCCCCCACCCCTGTTCCATTTTCCACCTCCTTCCCCTTCTGGACTTTTTGAGGGTGGGTCTGTCCATTCACCTCCTCTGCTTGCAGAAACACGCATCTGCGTGAGTCCTTGAAGAAGAGAAGACCACCTGCTTTCATCACCCGGGCACACGACATTCCAGAACATTCCACCACAGAACTCCCCCTGGCCTTCATCAGCTTGGCATTCAAAAAAGAACACTTCAAATGGGGGGTGGGGGGAGATTTGCCTCAAATCCCCATGTCTATTCCTTTCAGATTGCTGCTATGTGACCAACTATCGCTCGCTAATAACGAATTTCTTGGGGCATGCTGGAGCATGTGCTCTGGCTGTCCGGCTGCGTGGCCTGCATCACATGATCAGCCTCAGGCTTCACAAAGCCGCATAAACGTGTCACTTACTCTAGGTCTCTAAGAGACATGGGCGCACTTCCTGTTCAAGGGGCACCGGCCACATTAGGCAACACTGGCAGATGGAGGTGATGGACTTTTCCTGGAGGACGGAGAGTATCGTTACTTTCATCAAGACCAAAGCATCACTTCGTTTTGGTTCAAGCATTCAAGCAAAGACTGTGTTTGGCCCGACTTCAGAACGCTAATTGCGATGAAGTTCCAAGGGAAATTTTCAGCAGTAATCCAATGTTTGGCAGCAGCGCTCACCGTCAGCGGTAAGTCACATGCGATAAAGGGGATGCCCACGTAGGGCTGCCGTTCATCCCTGGAGGTGGGTCGAGTGGTTGCATAGTTTTCTGTAATTTTCCTGCCACCTGCTGTGTTTATTTACTGCCCCCCAACAGACCCAAAGAAAAGAGTGACAGTCCCGATAGCCAATGCCATAGACCAGGGGTGGCCAATCTTATCCTTAAAGGGCCGGTGTGTGTGCAGGTTTTTAGGATAACCTGTAGGTCAGCTGTTCAAACCCAGGTGTGAGGACTCTTCAGCCAATCAGTCCTCTAATTAGTAATCTAATTAGGGAATTGCAGCGAAAACCCGCATACATACCGGCCCTTTGAGGATAAGATTGGCCACCCCTGCCATAGACAATACCTTTGCCCCCCACCCCCTCCTCACAAATGGATCACTTTAAATTTAAAATCCGGCCGCCTCTTGGAGTTTCCCATGTCACATAGACCTGTCTTTGCTCCAAGCTGGTTATGCCTGTCAACACCTCGGGTTACAACCTTATGAGAAGCAGCAGGAGCTCGCAGAGTCCCCCCCCCCCCCCCCGTCGTTAACGTTAAGTGATATAACCTCACATCACACGACAGACTTGCCACCTCCTCCAGCTGGGGGGGGGGGTGATATAAACACTGTGAACTATCCGCACACAGTCACCAGTCCAGCATCAATTTCTGGGCAGCAGTGAGTGGTCAGCAGGATGGAGGGATGGAAGTCTCTCCCACTCTGCGCATCGATAAATGAACTCCACCCCGACGAAGGAACTCCACCCCGACTTAGGAACTCCACACCGACGAAGGAACTCCACCCCGACGAAGGAACTCCACCCCGACGAAGGAACTCCACCCCGACGAAGGAACTCCACCCCGACTTAGGAACTCCACCCCGACGAAGGAACTCCACCCCGACAAAGGAACTCCACATCGATGAATTCCAGTGGCACTGGAAGCTTTTTATAAATAAAAATGCATTTCAAGTTCCTCAGACTGTATAGATTCTGCTACTTACTCAGTATGACTGCTGGCAAAGTCTTAATTATGAGCAAAGAGGTCTCCGGATTCAGAGAATAATACACAGATAATACAATATCTTTGTTACAGGGAGAAGTAAAAAACAATTAGGATGTGAAGTATGAAGTAACAATGGTTACAATGAACTGCTGATGAAGGTTTGAGTTGCTTTGCTTGTATGTTCTTCTGTATGTTTTTATGTTGAGCAAATGAAGCTTCAGGGATTTAAAAGCAGAAGAAAATGATACATTGCTTCAAGTGATTATTGATCAACAATAAAACAGTGGTCCAGTTTAAAGGACCAATCGCATTCTTTTAGCAGGGAACGGTTTGTGTGCCAGGGTGTGAGAGATTGCGTTATTTAAAGGTTCCCTTAGAGCAGTGCTGGGATTTAAATCCTCAACCCTGGGAAGACCTCACCTCACCTCAGCTGACTTTATAAGTAAAGTCGTGTTCTTCTAATAAAAGCTTTTTCCGTTTTTTTATGAGCTATTCTGTTTGTTTTTTTCTGATGGCAGTGTTCTGAAAGAAGGCATTTTAATACAGGGTACATTTTGAAAACTGACCCCCTCTAAAAATGGAACTTTAATAGAGACCTTCCGGAATGACGAGGTAATAACAGCATCTGCTATTGAAAGTATTTGAAAACTAATTCAGTAGACGCTCATTGAACAAGGTAAAATATCGTGACTGTGTCCAGGAAGGGCAAGGACTTATATAAAAGATGCCCTCACGTTGTAAATAAACAGACATTCATTATCAGTACTTTACTGTCCTTGAATAAAGCATTTTGAACAGTTACCAACCAAACAAAAGCACCAAACACCTGGAACAGGTGTGTTGGGAGCTGGGGGGAGCAGGAATGTGGACCGTCTGGGGGGGGCTCGAGGACTGGGCTGGGGAACATTGATATGGAGTATGACAGCATGTGTGAATCTGTTCTGCAAAGAACTGGCATTCCCTCCAGGTTCACGCCCTGTGCTGCCTGGCAGGCCTCCAACCCAGATAAGTGCCTAGAAGACGGGTGGGAAATGCTCTTCCCTCAAGAAGACCACAGAACCGAAAATGAGAGAAAACTCCTGTGATTTTTCTCAGCATTGCAGTCAAAATTTTTACTTGCTTTTCCTGTCAGCATCTTTAAAAAAGAATCTTTACTTTTTCCTTGACAAATTTTGATCCAAGACTTAAGTCTTGCTCATGTTCCACTTTGAAGTTTCAGTGTTTCAGTGTTCACAGAGCAACTCGGCACAGAATAAAGAGATTTCCTGTGCAGGTTATCAGTCACTTGCACTTTGACCCTCAAATGTCACATTGGGCTGCCTTCACATGGATGGCTGTCAATCGGCCCCTGTCACCGAGCGCAGCACAGCGGGCCAACAAGGAGTCGTCAATGGGAGCAGGCCTAGCGTGAAGGTCGAAGGATTGGGTCGATTTCCCCGACGTCCCTCACGCTACAGCACGGCTCACAAAACAAACCCTTCACAGGGATGGGACTAAGAGGCTGGCTTGGATGAAGGAGATCAGAGATCTTCCTTATATCACGGCCGGTCAATAAAGACCCTCCCAAGATCGAGTCTCAGAAAACCTTCCTCACGCAGCAAGGTCAGGAGGTCAGATAAATGAGACGTGGCCTTAAAACAAGAACCTGAGGATGCATTTAAGGTTTAAGTAAGCCTGGTTTACATCTGAGAATGTCAAAGTTGTTACCCTCGTAAGAATTGAATCCATAAAACAGAGGAAACATTAAATCAATTCTGATAATCTAGATCCAGCAGCATTACAAATCCTAGATTTCTCTGCTACGTTTTCATGCACAATCCCTCAGTTAGAGACACTAAAGTTATACACAAATGGGAATTTATTTTAGGTTGACATGCTCAGCATTGACAAGGCTCCAGTTTG